CTCTTTTTATTTTTTTTTTTTTTTTTATCTCGAATAAAACTCTCGAAAAACTGATTTTGTATATCAGCGAGAATGTTTTTTCTGTTTTCTTTTTTGTTTTTTTTTTACAAATCGATTAGGGGAATCTTTATATATATGTATATTTTTTTTTTTTTGTTATACGTTGGCAAAGCAAATAAGAGGAATTTTAATGACAAACTTTTGACCTTGGTTGCATATTGACACAGATTTCAACGCGTGATAACGAACATAGATATGTGACCTAGTTGTATATAAGATCTTTATGCATGTACATACGTGCATACATATACATACGTATTTACATATATGTATATATATACATGCATGCATCGGTTATGAAAATATTGCGATCGATAACACATTGTAAACAGTAAGAAATAATTATTGCTAAATATGATGTTCAATGAATCATTGAACTTTGATATCATAAAGAGAATCGTTTTGAATGGTTTTAAATATCATTGACTTAGCATTTATTCATGATAACAAAAGGAAATACATATTTAAAGAATTCGATATTTTCCAAAATATCATATTTAATAATATTTTTTTAAAAGATCTGAGATCATTTTTTATTGTTTATTTTAAGTTAAAAAATTGAAAAAGATTAAATATAATATCAGTATTTTATTTTTTTATTTCTGTGATAAGAGAGAAAGAGATAAAAAAAAAAAAACCAATAGATGACGTTGATCGTATGCAGATGTGTTTTCATTGGTTGGTAAAAATAAGTTTAGATAACTCAGCCAATCCGGTGTCCTATTTAGTGTAAGGTAAGTTACGATATAAATTTAACGTATATACGGTTTATTTAGATCAATATTTTTATCCCTCTCGTATTAATGTTTATCCAAAAAATAATATTTTCATGTATACAGAATTGATAAATGAGATAAAGTAAAAAATATATTTGACGTGACGAGAGAGTTATACGTTCGTCGTGTATTACTGCGCAAAATTCAAGATGGCCGAATCTGTTTCTACGGGCACGTACGTATACGTACCATCGTAACGTTTATTTACATATTTCTATATCGTTTAATTACATTTATGAAGAAAATACATTTTTGTCATAAAATTATTCATTCGTTCTTCTTTACGCAAAGGTATCGTCGAATTAATCGATCATAATAGGACAACGATACAATCGAGCCATCGAATACATCGCAATTCAGAAGATGTATTACAGTGATGAACAAAACAAATATTATGTCAAATTTTCAAAAAATATTTTTAATTTATTCCGATACATCAGGTTGCATTACGATCAATTAGGTGATATATAAAAGTCAACATTATACGCTATCTTTTTTTTAAAACCTCACAATGTTTGTTTTCGACAAAACATATGCAAATAAATTCAAGGATCAGATTATTGCTCATCACTGTATATATGTATACAGTTTTTGCCCTATAAATGTAATTTTTTTCTAATCAAATCTAACCTATATTGTCAAATCAAATTCAATCTTTAATAAAGATTGAATTTCAAAAGATAATACAACTTGAAGATAAAGTTAATAATTATAATAAATGATTTCATAATGGGGGACGGGGGAGGGGGAGATAATTAAAATATAGTATTAAATTTGCAAGTGTTATTTATATTTATTATAATAAATTTATTGATAAACAATTTTAACCGATTATCGACTTCCGTAAATATAAAATATCGAAGTATAATTAGTTGAAGTAACGAACGAACGTAATAGCGTTGTAAACGTTGTGATGTGGATCTACTTTCTTTTTAGAAAGTATCATTGTAAGAAAATAATGTATGCGATATATCTCATTCTCACGGTTCGAAACTATTAAGAACACGTTCCATCATTAATTTGTTACATTTTCGAACAAATTTATATATATATATATATATATATATATATATATATAACATTTTTTTCTTCTAAACGAAAAGAATAATATTCAAATATATTTCCCTTCTAATTCAAAGGAAATGTTTCTTTTTTGTTCAGATTCAACATGGAGTCCTTTTACGCACGTGGTGACCATACCTTCAAAGTTCCCATGTCCCTTTTTCGAGAAAACCGTGAAAGACTTATAGCTCGTTTGAAAAGAAATACTGATGTTTCAGCTGCTAAAACTTTTGTTGTTCTTCAAGGTGGGATTGAAATCCCTTTTAACGATACGGATACCAACTGGCCCTTTAAGCAGGTAGGCAGATATTTTGCATTTTTGTTGATCCTTTCTAAACTGACCCTATGATAAAATCAATGTATCTTTAAAATATCTTTCTATTTATATTATAAAACTTTATTTAATATATTCTAATATACACTTAATGTTATGTAATGAAATTTGAAATTGCATATATATATATATATATATATATATATATACAAACGCGCATAAATAGCTATTTTATCTATCTTTTTATTTACATATAAGCTTATCTAAAAGTAATGCACATGGTAGACCACAAGTTTTTAGATTCGTAGCCTTACAATATGGAAAAAAGAAATTTAACTTAAAAAAGTCTTGCGAAAAGAAAAAGATATTTTTTAAATTACTTGGAAACTTTTGGTTCAATCTGTACAACGCTAGTCACAGGTTTTCTGAGAAATATACTTATGATGATACCCGCGTGTATGTGTGTGTGTGTGTGTGTATCATCTGTCTCTATGGTATATGTATATATTAAGAGTACACTGACCTCCTATGGTCAATCAGTATATGTGTGTTTATATTTTATTGAGAACTTTATTCTTAATTAATAATGAAAGCTAGCAAAGAATTGTTGAGAAATCCGATGAGTTTCGTATTTGTATTTCTTAAGTTTCATCCTTGATATATTCCAAAGCATCAGAATTTTTGTGCTACCCGCCATTCACTTTGCTTTCATTCTTCTCTTACATCCCCTACCCTCTTTCATAAAAACATTCGAACACGTTGGGGGAACCTGTTGTGTGTTGCTCGCGTATGCCTGCTATTTCCGTTGGCCGGTCTTCTTTCAAAACAAAGGAATATATATGAACCGTTTATTTTGAAAGTAGCATGTCACTTTTTAAACATAAAAAAATTAATGATAAATTTTAATATCAAATATGTTATATATATATATATATATATTTATTTTAATTCATTCTCTAATTTGATTATTTTTTTCCATAGGAATCTTTCTTCCAGTGGTCTTTTGGTGTCGAAGAACCAGGATGTTACGGAGCTCTTGATCTATCATTAGAAAAATCAATTTTATTTGTACCAAGATTACCTGCAGAATATGCTATCTGGGAAGGAAAATTACATACACTGGAAGATTTTAAAAAACGTTATGGCGTCGATGAGACTTATTATACGGATGAAATAAAGAAGACATTGAAAGACAAAGGTGCATCTCTTTTGTTAACTTTGGTAAGGATTATTTAACGCGTATAATGAAAAAATTTGTAATATTTTATTCATATGATTTACGCCTGATTAATTAACAGAATATATAAGTATAATTTAAATATTTATACTATATTGTATTTATATAAATAATTTTTAATAAAAAAATACTGAAAGTTTAGTGAAAGAAAAGGTGGAATGCATAAATAGCGGCAGTCAAATAGAAGGATCTTAAAATATCACATGATTGTTTTTTCGGTTAAGTTATGTAAGACTGCTTTTACTTTTGCAAATATTATATAATCATTTTCTTTTTCATTTCAGCATGGTAAAAATAGCGACAGCGGATTGTACTCTCAAGAAGCTATTTTCGATGGAGTAGGAGAGTGAGCAAATTTAATTTATTTATTAACTTATTTATTTATTTATAAAATAATCTCTAAAGTTTTTCATCGATTATATTATTTTTTTTTTTTATTTACTTCACAGATTTAAAATTAACAATACCACGTTATATCCGGAAATATGCGAATGGTAAGTTAAATGAATATATTTTTATTATATAATTTGTATTTTATCTAGCTTTGAATAGCCCGCCGATGAATTATTTTCGAATTAATTCGATCGACCAATCACAATCATCCCCTTTGCGAAGAATTACTATTGGTGCTTTCATTTTTCGATATTTAAAGAAAGTCAATATGGCGTCAAAGTGTTTTGACATATAGTTGTGTTTTGATATTTATCTCTTGTGTTTATTTTTAAATACATTTTATTCTAACGATTAGAAATATCCATTTAATTAATTTACTCGTATTAAGATTTAAAAGATTATATTTTTCAAGAGAAACGCGTCGTCGTTATTTTTAATGTAACGCGATTTACAATGCATGGTATAATTACATTAGTATATGTTTTAGTTAATAAAAAAATAGATTAAGTTTATTTATAAGATTGAATTTGTGTATCTGTGGTTCGTTTAGATGATAATTACGAGTCAATCATGTGGAAAACTTATTTTCCGTTGGTTTTTACATTCAAAAGAATTCGTTTCAAAATTGAGGTTAGAATCAAATAAAAGAGATTATAGGAATTCGTCGAAAGCTATAACTCGGACCAGCATTTTTTTGGAAGAAGGAATGAACATTCAGGAACTGCCTTTGATCGTGAAAAAAATAAATGATATTGGACTTGTATGTAATTTTAAAGGTAAGAATAATACGACTCCTTTTGATTTTCGATACTTTGACACGCTTAAGAAAAATTGGAGTAATATGCAACTTGGAGTAATATGCAAAAGGGAACGGTGAAGAAGCTGCTGAGAAGATGGACGCCGATACTAAAATTTCTAAACGGAGGATAGATATAGAAACGGAAGAGGGAATCGCTATACTTTTTTCATCAGATTTAGAATGTCTTAAGCGTACAAATGTAGATGAAATTTTGGAGGGATTGAATTCATCTAATTCAACTAAAGGAATATATTCTTTATTAGAAAACAAAATAGCGGATGAAATTAATTGTAGAATTGCCATTCAAGGTTTAAAAAAGATATTTGAAATAGAGAACGCTCAAAGAAGATTCAAAGATAACAGGCTTTTAAGACAAGAACAGTTTATCATTAATACTGTTAATAGAGATGTTGCTTTGAAACAACTTGTTAAGATGATTGTCAAAAGTCAAGATAGTCAAACGATAGTAGAGGGCCTTTATGCGTTGAAAAAAGACAAATTTAGTCCTGCTAAAAATGTTTATCGTGATTGTTTGTCGACAGAAGCATTAATTAGAGCGTCTGATGGGGACTTTACTTTATCTCAATTAATAGATGTTCTTAAAGCTTTATCTTCTTACAAGGACTCCAGTTACCAAGAACTTATCGATCTATTGTGGATCGGTATTGCTAATAGAAAGGAAGAAATAAACGCGGATTTGTTAATACCATTATTTAAACTCTTGTATTTATTTGATCTAAGTAAAAACACGGTGAGAATCATTCTGGAAAAAAAACTTTCAGAACATTGGTTGAGATTAAAGGGTTCTCAGATAGGAGAAATTTTAAATTGTTATCGTCACGATTTATCGTTTTTAGGATGTTTAATAAGTGCTAGCAAATGGGCATCCGTTAGTATGAATACCTCGGATGAAAAAGATCTTATTGATTTTATTCAAAGCTTACACGCAAAGAAATATATCGACGATAGAATAGAACTAACTTTGGAGAAATATATGAAAACTAAAGGTATTCATATTAAAGATCCTCTATTAATAGCCACTATTATGAATTATTGCTGTACTATGAGAGTCAGGAACTTGCACATTATTTCATCTTGCGGAGAATATTTTATTAAATACGGAAATAAATTATCTGCGTCGTTATTGGCACCGATTCTTATGCCATTTGGTTTATTAAATGTACAACCGCCGCATAGTACATTATTTTGGCAAATATTAGATGAATTATTATCGGCTAAATTTGTAGACTTGAAACTAAACGAGATTTTAGATATTTTACTTAGCTGTATTTATTTGGAGAGATATCCTTTAAGCTTTTGGGAAAGAGTCGTTAAATCTCATTCTCTTGATAAGATTTATAAAAAGAAACATTATCTTTTTAACAAAGATTTGTTACACAAGATAATATTATTTGACGCTTCTATGTACATTGAATGCGAAGATTATCACAATTGTCGTGTTAATTCGAATGGTATAACAAAATCATTGTTTGTGGATATACGTTTAAGAAGAATAATTAATCAGATTTATAAACCATTGGAACATTTAGTAGGTAAAGAAAAGAAATTAAGTAAAAACGTTCTTTTAAACAAATTACCATTAATCAATTTTTATGTGCTCGATATTTTGATACATTCGTCATCCACGTCTACTGCAATTTTTAATTTACATTTACAAACAAATAGAAATTTAAACACTGTCGTTTTAATCCATTTGCCGGAACATTATTGTCGAAGTACAAAACATTTGATAGGGCCGCAATTAATGAGAAAAAGACAAATTAGAAAGTTAGGTTTTCGCGTAGTGAGTTTAGATTATTTGACGTTAGAAAAATTACTCGATCAAACTGACAATTTGTCGAATTATTTGATAAAACATTTTGAAGCAGCCGAGGACGCGTTATGAAATTTGTAAATGGATTTTGATATTAGCAATTTTTTTTTATAAAAATGTAGATCTTATGGTATTTTGTATGGATAAAATAAAATTTATTAGAAAAAGATTTAATCATAATTGTGTGCATGGATTATATATATATATTTGATAATATTTCATTTAACTTTATTTATATTTTATTTTATTTTATTTATTTTTGTATGCATAGTCGAGTAATCAAAACTGCCAAGGAAATCGACGTATTGAGATACGTGGTGAAAATAAGCTCGGAAGCCCATAAAACTGTAATGCGTATGGTGAGACCAGGCTTGGGAGAGTTTCAAGCAGAAGCAGCCTTTTTGAATTACATTTATTCCATTGGAGGTTGTAGACACGTTTCTTATACTTGCATTTGTGGTTCGGGACACAACGCATCCATCTTGCATTATGGACACGCTGGTGCACCTAACAGTAAAATTCTAGAGGATGGGGATATGTGGTAAGAACATTACTATAAAGCTTTTATCTTTAGTTAATAATAATAATAATAATAATAATAATAATATTTATTATAAATATAAAACACAATATAATACATGGATATATATATATATATATATATATATTTACCATAGTTTATTCGATATGGGTGGAAATTATTGTGGATACGCTGCAGACATAACGTGCAGTTTTCCAGCCAATGGAAAATTCACCAACGATCAAAAGTTCATTTACAATGCGGTGTTGAAAGCAAGAGATGCAGTTATGAATGCTGCAAAACCTGGTGTATCTTGGACAGATATGCATCTTTTAGCTAACGAGACGATGTTATCTTCATTGAAAGAAGGTGGATTGTTGATCGGCAATGTTAAAGAGATGATGGAATCCGGATTGAACGAAATCTTTCAACCTCACGGTCTTGGACATCTTATGGGTTTGGATGTACACGACGTTGGTGGTTATCTTCCAGGATATCCAGAACGTTCAACATTAGCAGGCATAAGAAAATTAAGAACAGCTCGTACTTTACTTGCTGGCATGGTATTAACGATAGAACCTGGTTGTTATTTCATCGATTGTGTAAGTTAAATGCTGATCACTTTTATTGAAGTTTCAATAAATTTAGTGATCACAGTTATTATTTTGAATGATAATTCAACGATAGTTGCTCGATGATGCATTAGCCAATCCGAATCAATCACGGTTTATCGTAAGAGAACAATTGGAAAGATTTCGTGGTTGGGGTGGTATTAGAATCGAGGATGATGTTCTAATTACAGAGACTGGAGTTGAAAATTTAACGAAAGTTCCTAGAACGTGAGTAATATTTCAAATAAATCATTTTGTCAATTTATTTTTAATCGTATATATATATATATAAATCATTATTTTATTATTATTTTTATTTATAGAGTCGAGGAGATAGAAAATTGGATGGCGGCAGGAAGAAGTGAATTGAAGTTACCGCAAGATCAATAAATTCTAAGAGACTATTTTTCCTTTACTACTTTGATACAATCAATTTGATTGAATAATACTATTTACATAAATATAGATATTTTATATACAATACGTGGAGGAGGTTTGAACACCATTTCCAAATAAAGTAGACATTCGTTAGAAAATTGACCAAAAAGGGTTCTGGATAATTTAACACTTTACTGATTGGCCGCTCAACCGCAGATACTCTCTAACGACCGCTGTTTTTCAGCTTACACTAACGTACAGGAGTATCTGTGCGTTTCGTATGCTCAGAGATAATTGTCCGCTTTCTGTTATTACAGGATATATTAGGATATACAGGATATTATAGGATAGGATAATTAGATTTAATAAAATGTTGTTAACAACAATGCAATTAAAACGATTGTTCGGTAAGCGTGGGCGATAAAAAAAAGCCGATTAATAGGCTATCGGTCAGTAAAGTGTTAAGTCGCCCGGCAAGTGAAAGATTCGGTGTATCTTAATCCAATTCAACGTTTCAAACTTTTTCACGAATCTTACATATATATATATATAACAAAATACACATATCAAAAAGAAAAGAAAATAATAATCCATCAAGATTGTGTGTGTGTGTGTTACGACAAACGTATTCCACCTTGTATAACAAACAACGCCGAAATGTATGTTTCTTCGTATATTCAATAATTTACAATCGAGTTATAAAATTGATTAACAAAAAACATCACCATTCCAGTGCTAAACAATGCAACATAAATTAATAATGTAAATATACATACATATATCCACATCATTTTTATATATATTATCTATTAAATAAATCAAAGTATTTACTTGTTATATCGTTAAATTAATGAGCGTTTTTTTTTCTTTTTTTTTCATGTGATACTTTAAACGTTTCATTAAGAATAAGACAAAAAGATATATTGGACAAACGATTAGAATAAAAGGGGGAAGGAAGCAAAAGAAAAAAATTGAAAAAAGAAAAACAAGAACAAAAGATGATAAATGATAGGAAAGAGATGATAGATGAAAAATAGTATTGAAATTATATCGTTCAGAATAGTATATGAATATAGTATGTTTGCGGTTTCGCATACTCTCTCTTTCTCTCTCTCTCTCTCTCTCTCTCTCGTTCTCGTTCTCTTTCTCTTTCTCTCTTTCAAAGTTAAACGCCTGAGCAGCGCAGTCATTATCGCGCGTGCGAGGTTACCAGTTCGCAGTCGCGTCACAGCGCCGATGTAGACGCGTTGTCGTCGTCGTCGTCTTCGTCGTTCTTCCTTCCTGGATAGATTATTCCGACGCGGAGAAAAGAGAAAAAGAAAAGAAGAAAATAGAAGAGACGTCAAACGTGTGCGCGCGTGTGTTTATTATTATGTGTGTGTACGTGTGTATGTATGTTTGATTTAATTCTATTTAAATAATATATACATATATATATATATATATATATATATATTTTTTGTTCTTTTTCTTTTTCTAAATTAAATTTTTATCTTTATTATTTTAATT